ATGTACAAGGCTATCTTTATGAATGAATTCATTCTTCAAAGAGCCCCGAACCATATAGACTAACTGCATGAATGCACTATCCTCCCTAAAGGTCAAGAGCAGTTGACAAGACACAAAATGTTCCTTTTGAGCGTACAAAGTCTTACAGTGCTGGCTATCTTCTCATAACATGAAATCAGGTACAGCATTAACAAACACATCAGTGAAGGAAGAAGCGTAAACCAAGAAAGAATCCACGCCTCTGTTCTTTGTTTTGGTCTTATTCTTTGTATAGAGCCCTTTCATTTGTTAAAAAAACCAGCAAGATAATTGCATCATAGAGGAATCATAAAGAATTATAGAATTGCAGAGTTGGAAGGGACACTTAGAATCATCTAGTCCAAACCTCTGCAGGGCAGGAATATGCAGCTGTCCCATACAGGATCAGACCTGCAACCTTGGTGTTATCAGCACCATGATCATGATTTGGTAGATCAGTTGTTGATTAGCAGTTGTGGAACAACTGGATAACTGTATGTGGAAATCCTTTTGATTTGCTTTTATTTTTTATGTTTGTGATATATGAAATTGCCGTACATTAAATGGAGGTATTCCCCAAATACTCTTTTCAGTGCCAAATGCCTGGTGTCACACTTTTGCATTAAAGGTAAAGGTAAAGGTACCCCTGCCCGTACGGGCCAGTCTTGACAGACTCTGGGGTTGTGTGCCCATCTCACTTAAGAGGCCAGGGGCCAGCGCTGTCCGGAGACACTTCCGGGTCACGTGGCCAGCGTGACAAAGCTGCATCTGGCGAGCCAGCGCAGCACACGGAACGCCGTTTACCTTCCCGCTGGTAAGCGGTCCCTATTTATCTACTTGCACCCGGGGGTGCTTTCAAACTGCTAGGTTGGCAGGCGCTGGGACCGAGCAGCGGGAGCGCACCCCGCCGTGGGGATTCGAGCCGCCGACCTTTCGATCGGCAAAGCCCTAGGCGCTGAGGCTTTTACCCACAGCGCCACCCGCGTCCCTAACTTTTGCATTATTCTCTCTCTAATCTAACCATGAATTAAATGGAATCGTGATGAATTAAACATGCTAACCAGATACGTCAACACTCTGTTTTGGGTAATGTTAAAGCCTAAAGCTTTGGGTTTATGTTACAATGCAAACTCGTACCACAGAGAGAAGGCACAGAAAAAAATTGATTAACCATTTTGATTGCAGCTGAGATCCCAAGAAGCTAATAAGAGAGTTTCTACTGACTCCAGCAGAACTAGATTGCACCTTTAGTCTGCTATACTAAACACCCCTACTTAGGGAATAAGCTCCATTGAGCATCTAGGTATATGATTGTGCTATTGTCAACCTTGCCATTTGGCTCTGCATTACCTATATAGTTAAGTCTGTACAGTCATACCTTGGAAGTCGAACGAAATCCATTCCAGAAGTCCGTTCCACTTCCAAAATGTTCGAAAACCAAAGCGCAGCTTTTGATTGGCTGCAGGAAGCTCCTGCAGCCAATTGGAAGCCACGGAAGCCCCATCGGACGTTCGGCTTCCAAAAATAGTTCGAAAACACTCACTTCCGGGTTTCGATCGTTGGGGAGCCGATTTGTTCAGGAGCCAAGCCATTCAAGATCCAAGGTACAACTATATTACTATTTAAAAACAGATCTTATTCTTAGGAGGGGACCTGGTTTGTCCTTCCTTCAGCATGTCGTAGCACTCAAGGGCACTTCTACATACCCATAATGATGCAATGCCATTGTTTTCTTTTAGAGATGAAACATCCCTCTTTTCTGGCTTACCTAAGCAAACACTTTTGTAAGTGAAAAATAGAAATAAAACCAATGCAGAAGAGGAAGTTCTGCTCTGGTGTTGAGCTCACCATATCCTGCCTTCAGAATAATTTCCATTTCTGCTTATCTGTTTCTGTGAATGGAATGTCCGCAAATATTTATTTGGTTTCTCTGGTGAAAAAGGGATGAGGCAGAGGGAAATGATCTTCATGAATCAGTCACTGCAGATTCGCTGCATCTCTCAGAGTTGTTTGGGTTGTTTTTTTAAGTGAGAAAAATATCCTGTGGTTATTCTTTGCATGCAAGTTCCTTGAAGGCAAGCGGAAACATTTTACCATTCTTAACATACAGATTACACACCCTGAGAGACCCCTCCACACTGAAAAATTACACTGAAGCACGGCAAATCTGATGATTGAAATGCAACCTGCTCTTTCCCTGTAAAAATTTTGTGCAATTTCTAAATTAATAATTTTTGCCTCCCCACTTCTCTAATCCATTACCCACCTTATAACATGTATTTAAATACATAAAATACAAGGAAGAGCAAGCTTGCAATGCAAGGCCTTTCCGGGGTTTTATCTCTTTTCAGGTAATGCTTCTAAAAGAAAGGAAATTACATATCCTGACATTCAAATTACAGCACTGGTTTCTGGGAAATGCTCCCCCCCTCCCCCCCCCCCGCAAAGTTTCATGCTGGCAACAGGAATTGCTGTGTGGAATGAAGGTGTGCAAATGTCTTTGGCATCTTAAGGCTGGTGCCCATGACATCACTGGTGAAAAACTACAGAACTTTTCCGTTCACATCCCGTTTTGTGAACTGTTTTAAAATTATCACAGTTCAAGGATGCATTCCATCCAGCCAGAACTGAGGATGTGAAACAGGACCAGTGAGTGGTGCATTCTGGGAATATGGCCTGAGGAGGTAGAGGGGAGGTGCCTAGGTAGAGCCTATTTAGCTCTCAGGAATCTACCTAGTCTGCTAGAGAGCCACACTCAGCTTGTGGGCCTGAGGGCCCCCAAACTTGCTTTTGAGTGTTTTTCTTCTTCAGTACTGTGAACATTATCATGGCTGCTCTCTGCAGCAAGACACACACACGCCTCCCATGGAATCTGTTTGCATAGATGGAATACTATACAACTGGGACGTGATTGTAGCTCACATGAGTGTTGTGACAATAACATGGGAAGACTGTAGAAACAGAAATCACAGCTGCACCTTCCCCCCTTTTCTTTAAAAAGAAGCACATTCGAAAATACATACAGTGATACCTTGGTTTTAGAACGGAATGCGTCCCGGAAGTCCATTCGACTTCCAAAACGTTCGGGAACCAAGGCGCAGCTTCCAATGGACTCCCAATTGTGCAGGCACGCCGGAAACAATAGCGGAAGCCGCATCGGACGTTCAGCTTTCCAAAGAACGTTCGAAAACCAGAACACTCACTTCCGGGTTTCGATTGTTCAGGAGCCAGAATGTACGAGTGCCAAGGCGTTCGACAACCAAGGTACGACTGTATATGCTAACAAGAAGAAAGTACTCAAAGTGTAACTGCTTACTGTGAACTTCCTCCCACAGAAAAGGGGTGCAGCATGACTGCCACAAAAGTTTGTGATACATCAACTAGTATAACATTCATTCCACCATTTTTTTCTGCTTCTTCCCTGAAAACAATAAAGGGAATAAGCAAACCATAAGGGATAAGCAAATCTGTCAGTTTTGGTTCCTCCCAGTTTCTTGTTTTTCCAGTCTGAAGTTCAATTCTCTGGATTTCCACGTCAGTTTGTGATTTCTTTTAAGCAAAATTCCTCTTGGAACTTCAGCATTTCAGTGTCCGTCCCCCCCGATACACATTTTTATGCAATTTTGCTAATACAGTATAATGCATTTTTGTATTTTGTATTTCATGAATATATGCATTTTTATATGGAATAAAACCCTAGTATATGGGGTTTTGTACACATAGCTAAGCTGGAGAAGTACATTGCAAAATTTGGAGAAGTGTGAATTTTGGAATGGCTGCCTTTTGGTTTGCATTTTGTTTGAGTGGGGGCAAATTAGGTAGGTGTGCATGTAAAAGTGAACTGGGCTGAATTTCTCTCCCATCCCTAGTGTGAACCAGTTGTGGGCATAGGCCACTGTGTAACACCACTTCAGTCATGTGACAAAAGCTGAATGCTGTGGCTCAGTGGCTGTGTGCCTGCTCAGAGAGCTAACACAAGTTTACCAAGGAGTCTCATGCATGAAAGAGTCATTTGAATCATCCTAAAGAATTACTAATTTAACACCTTCCAAGCTCAGAAAGTGAATGGGATTATAGTTACACCATCCTGCTGTTGCAACACCAGTTTAGATGGTCATTTATGTCAAAAGTTCAACAGTCTCAGCTTTCTTTTGCCCTTAATTTATTGAATTCTTCCTAAAACAGATGTTGTAAGATCAAAGTGCTGAAAGGGCTTTTAACCAATTTGACCACTTGTGTAAATATCCTTGAACTCCCCTCATTTATCCCTTCAACATGTCCATTTTATATATGTTCTGTATGTTTATTCTGATTTCAGGTGGGTCTGACCAGCAAATTAAGCTGATGTGGGTGAGAGGAGGAGTCTTCCAGAAAGCTCATATCATTATTATAATAAGAAGGCTGCTTTTAGCATTCATTTCTAAATCTTAGCAGTACATTCTCTAAAGCTCCGATAATAGTTTCCTTTTCACCCTAGTAGCTTTAAGTGTTGGTATATCTCACATAACAAACTTTATTTCCAAGTTTTTCCATTTATAAATTTATAACAATGTTGTATTAATTTTAACTGCCCAGAAAACTAAAAACATATCTGTTCACCCAAGTCTGTCCTCACCAATATTAACTTGTCTGTCACGTGGCAGATGGTATTTTCATTTAAATTTTGTAATTACTGTATAGTTTTGTTTTGCTGGTTTTATATGTTTTTATATTTGTAAACGGCTTTGGATACATGCAATATAAAGCAGTATATAAATGTTTTTTTGAAATATATAAAATAAATAGCACCTAGAACTCAGCACTTATAAAAATGAAAGAGCTACGAGCCACTGAAAGTCTCCAGTCCAGCAATGCATTTTTGTTTTAGCCAGTAGCCCAGCACAGTAAAGCAAAGGAGTCTTTTCCTTCTCCTGGTAATTATCACACATATTCTTTCAGATATATTCATTTTGCTGAATCCCACTCTGCTTTTTGTTTTGCAGGTTGTCACTCTATGGTACAGAGCTCCTGAAGTTTTGCTTCAATCCAGTTATGCAACGCCAGTCGATCTTTGGAGCGTTGGCTGCATATTTGCAGAAATGTTCCGTCGAAAGTAAGAAATGATTTAATTTTTTTAACCGTGGTGGGACAAATGCTAAGGATTTGCCACAGCTGTTGCTGGCATCCCATTTTAAAATCTTTACATTTGTAAAGGCCCATTTGTAAAGAGATGTGCTGGGTTAGGCTGCTACGGCCATGTCTGTCTTCCTCATATTCAATGCCTGTGGCCCCGTACCTGACAAGCACATGTTGGAAATAAAGAAGATGGTGGTGAATGCAGCCATGAGGGTTTCAGGCAGTGGACTAGCTTACCGTATTTTTCACTCTATAAGATACACTTTTTCCCTCCTAAAAAGTAAGGGAGAATGTGTGTGCGTCTTATGGAGCGAGTGCAGGCTGCGCAGCTATCCCAGAAGCCAGAACAGCATGAGGCTATCCCAGAAGCCAGATCCCTCTTGCTGTTCTGGCTTCTGGGATTCAGAATAATTTGTTTCTTGTTTTCCTCCTCCAAAAACTAGGTGCTTATCGTCTGGTGCGTCTTATAGAGCGAAAAATACGGTAACTCATGATACTTGGCCAGTTCTCATTACTGCTGCTCCCTGTCCACCTGCTCATTGAGGCTCCATGCCTTGCTTTAGTGTCTATAAAGGAGGGCTAAAGGGTGTTTTATCAGAGTGAGACATTCTGGGCGAGGTGGTCAGGAGAGTGGTTTGGCGCAATGGCTAGAAAGGTTGTTAGAACTAAGCTTTTTCTAATCTTAAACATTTCTAGCCTCGACCACGGCACAGAAACTCTCCAGGCTGCTTCACCCAGGATGCCTGCAAGGCAGGGAAGAGGGAGAGAAAACACAATTGCAGCTGACTCAAATATGGCAGCAAAACAAGGCGGGGAAGTTGAAGTGGAGGGGGAGGAGGCATGACGTGTGGTAGTGGCAGGGGGAATAGGTGGGGCAGTGGGCAGTGGCAGCAGCAAAGCGGTTTTAAAGTTTTCGTTCTGTTATAGCATTGTTCCTGCCCATTGTTTTGTTCTTGGTATATGTAAATCCAGATTGCTGAGATGTTGATAAAGGGGACCTTTGTAGAACTCTAGAAAGAATATTGAAGGTGCCACAACTGGCTTTAGGAGATCGTTTTCCCCCGCATGGAACAAAATTTTTAATATCTTGAAAAAGAAATGGCAGGGCTCTCTTTTGATTGGAAACCCCAACTTTTGATTAGGCAATATTCCCTTTTTAAAAATATATAGTGGCTCTTTAATTACTCTGTAGTGGAAGAAATACACTGTGCATCTGATTGGGGAAACTTTCATCTGTTCTTACTACAAATCTGCTAGGATTAAGCCCACTGAAAACAACTGCCAGCCAAGTCTGTGCACAGTTTAGTCTAGCACAAGTAAAGTCCTTTCCACAAATGCTACATAACACCTCACAGGTGATGGTGATCATTGACCATATGTTGCATGTGAATAAAACTGTAATTTTTGGGGAGGAATCCTTTTGTTATTGTTTGCTGCAGCAGGTACCATCTTAAAAGGAGCATTCACTCATTTGAGTGAGAGGAGGGTAAATGTTTCTTGGTTGCTGCCATCTGTACTTTTTAAAAGCTTTTATATTAAAAATAATGATCATCATTTTTTTAAAAAAATATGTTATCTGATTAATTGATGGTACCTCTTTAGTTGATCAAAATATTTTTGGTGAATCAATCTGATTAACTCAATAATTGATTCAACATTTGTAAGGTTAATTTAGGGATAGTCTGCTTTCCTTTTTTTAAAAATAAAGTAAAACTTTCTGATTTCAAAGTAGGCTTGAGTGCAAATGTTTGTATGTGAAACAGAGTTAGATAAAAATAGGCTATCTTCTGGAGCTTCCAGAAATAGTTTTACAATCCTGGTCTTAAAACCAAGGAGAAAATGGTTGAAATAAATAGAAGTGCAGTTGACTGGGCAGCTACCAACCACGTTCATACCCTCGTAATCTACAACTTCATTGTTAACTATTTGATATACAGACATTGTCACAGTACCGCATTGAATATTTTCAACTCGGATTGTTGTATTTATATAGTTTTGCAATAGCTATGGCCTAAGATGTGTTATTTCTCTAAAGGCACGTTGCAGGAAAACAAAAACGAAAAGCTGGCAATATTATAGTCTTAGTATCAAAAAACTGTGAAGTTTTGCAAACACCCATGGATTGTTTCTGAAGTGGCTATTTAAATGCAACTCTTACTTCTGTTAGCTTTATCGTGAGCTGCTTTTGACTAGTTATTTTAGGATGGAAGTTTGCCTGTTGGGTCAACATTGAAACAAACTGAATTTGTTTGTTTTATTATCATGGTGATTTATACTTCCTTTTTCTCATCTCCTCATTGTACACATTATTTAAAGGATTTCAGGTGTGGCTTTGTTCTCTGTACTTTCCCACTGTTTGGTATGCTGCTGTTGAAGCCATTTTTGGTGGGAAAAGAATTTCTGTAGAACTGCGTATTCTCGAGAGGGCCAATGCATGAGGGACTTGCTCTTTTGCCACATTTTGAAAGCCATTTTAATGTTCTCTTAATGCTAAATGGTCAAACTCCAGAACTGCATTGTGTCCACATCAGGCAAAAAAGACCTTTTTTTTTTTAACTAAAAAAATGGTCTAGGGGAGGTGTGGGGAACCTTTTACAGACCAGGGGCTGCATTTCCATCTGAGTAGTCGTCTAGAGGTCACATGTCTGTAGTGGGCGGGGCCTGAAGCAAAAGTGGGTAAAGCAACAAATACCTCTAGCCAGACGGGCATAAACACTGAAGGAAGGTGTGAAGGGTGTGGCCTGGGGACAGTCCTGAGGGCCAGATAGAGAGGCCTTGAGGGCCACCAGGTCAGTGGCACCACACCCCTGGTTTTAGGGAATATAGGGCCAATGAGGAGAGAGAACTGGCAGAGCTAAAAAGCAGGTTGCCAAGAAGGCAGTTCAGAAGCAGGAATGGGAATGAGGCAAAGAGAAGCTTGATATGAGAAGAGACTGGAGGGGAGGAGAAGGCAAAGGTATGCAGGGAGAATTAGAAACTGGGGAAAGAAATACAGTCATGCCTCATGTTGCGTCCGCTCCAGGCTACATCTTTTCAAGTTGCGTCCTGTGGCAACCCGGAAGTACCAGAATGGGTTACTTCTGGGTTCGCCGCTCGCGCATGCTCAGAAGTCCTAATTCGCACCATGCGCATGCGCAGACGCAGCGCTTCTGGATGCGAATGCTTCTAGTTGCAGACATGCCTCTGGGATGGATTACGTCCACAACTCGAGGTTCTACTGTACAGTGGTACCTTGGGTTACATACGCTTCAGGTTACATACGCTTCAGGCTACACACTCCGCTAACCCAGAAATAGTGCTTCAGGTTAAGAACTTTGCTTCAGGATAAGTACAGAAATTGGGCTCCGGTGGCACGGCGGCAGCAGGAGGCCCCATTAGCTAAAGTGGTGCTTCAGGTTAAGAACAGTTTCAGGTTAAGAACGGACCTCCGGAACAAATTAAGTACTTAACCCGAGGTACCACTGTACTCCATTGACTAGGCATTGAACAAAAGGTCAGGGTTTGGTATTTATGCCTTGCTCAGCCAATCAGGAAGGCCCACTCTGCTTTTCTTTAGTGAGATGACTACCACATGAACTGAAAGAATACATGAGAAGGTGGTGTGGCCTCACCCCATAACTGGCACATGTTGCTGACGTGCCCCCCCCCCAATCTGTCAGCATGTCTGTAGAGCTTCTCCAGGTGAAACCAGGTGTGCAGGCCTCCTCCTTACACATAGATGGGCTGCTATGTATGTTACTTTCGGCATACACCATGACAGAAATACTCTAGCGTAGCAAGTTTGTGCTGGCAATTTCTCAGAGCCTAATTTCCCAGAGTAGTTTATTTATCATAACTCTTAAAGGTTCGGGAATAGTAGGAGCTTGGTGACCGGCTGAGAGTAGTCAATGTCATAGCAATAACAAAGGAACCTCATATATGCGTTTATATGAAGCCCGCACTATTTTGATATATTGGATGCTAACAGACAAATGTTTCTCCATAAGCTATCCAGAAAGCATTAAATTTCTGCTGCATTCAAATTATATTCTGAAGTTGAAACACCTTGCTTTTAGCCCTGTTTGTGCATCCTGGGGCAAAGACTTGGAATAAAAAATATCGCTTTTCAGCAGACCTGTATGCCTTGCTGCCCTTTTGTCTGGTAGGGAAGCATGATTCAAGCTGTCATTGTTATTCTGTTACATTGAGAGGTCACTGGGTTAAATTAGAGGCCTGTGTTCATTCAGCCTTGATGGTATGAGTCCAAGACTCCAGAAGAAAAGCTGAAATAACCAATCTAATAGGCTGGCCACCTGTCCAGTGGTGAATTAAAATTCAGACCAGGACTAGCTTGAAAGTACTAGAAGCCTCCAATGCATCTATATGCCCATGAAAGATAGAACAAAGGGTTGGGGGATGAGCTTAAATGCAGAAAAAAATAAAATCTAGATGTTTCTCAAGAGAAGGGTTGCTCTTCTAGTGTAGATAATCTATACTGTAGTGAATGTTTGGAAACATCTCTTGGTTAAATTTTTCTTACTTTTACTAAAATAGTTTTGAAAATGGATAGCACCAGGTCCAACTCAGTTACAAGAGATTTTGGGTCAGTAGTAGCAAAATGAGATCTGAAGTCGGTATAGATACTGATTTAGAATATTAAAATGGCTACTTTTTCTCTGAATTAATAGGGAAATGGTGGGATCCCCTTGTATTTACATTTTTCTGCTATGCATATTTTACAAAAACCAACCAGATAAATTGGGACATTATTTTGTTCTTTTTCTTAGCTCCAGGAATGATAATGGTAATATTTTATTATTTATATGCCACACATCTGACTGGGTTGCCCCAGCCACTCTGGGCAGCTCCCAGAGCTAAAAAAGAGTAAAAACACAGTACAACTTTTGTCTTGTGTTTCACTACAAAAATTATACCTCACACCTGAGTGCATTTAACGTAGGTTAACTTGATGCTTTCTTTGTGGGGCTACCCATAAGG